AATAAGTAAATTGCAAAGGGACACTGCAGGAGCACTCCCAATTGCTGGCACCTTTCTCTTACCAGGTCAGCCTTGTGTGGCATCTGTAAGATAGAGACTGACTGCAAACTCCCTTACAGAGAGGGAAAACATCCAAGCGTTATGGCTTGAGGGATTTGAAGTCTGGGAAACTTCTCTGCACTTCAGCTAAGCATCCCATTTGATCCCATGCAGGACATGGGAGTTCCCACCTGCCACCAGGCCACTGACACAGCCCTTGAGATGGCTGTGATGAGATGAGATGAGAAGTTAAACCTCTCATCGTTTCGTTCTCCCTCTCGCTTCTTGCCTGCCCAAAGTTGAGACCCGGCAAGGGCTGCCTCAGCTTGCAATCATGCCACAATGAGCATAAACAGATCTTTTTTGTTTCAAATCCATGGAGCCCCTCAGGCTGAGGTGGACAAATGCCGCCGGAGCACCAGCTCAACTCTGCTGGAAGCGGGCAAGGTGCAGACCTGGCACGTCACTGGCCAGGCTGCAGCTGTGCGACCCATTTCTGCTGTGCCCTGACAGCAGCTCCCTCCTCAGGAAAACACAAAGCCCTTCAAGGAAGCTGAACCAGACTCACCGAGGCAGGCAGGGCAGTGAGTTGGACCAACACACCCAAAGAAGCAGCTCTGACAGTCTATGTATATGGATTTTTCCTCCTATTGATTAACCCATTTGGAGTTTGTTTATTTGTATTAAGACAGCTCATTTATGCTCTCTTAATGAGGCCCCTGCAGAGTCTGTGCATTAACTACAGGCTCCAGCACAGTCCGTGCTTTACAGAGCATCCTCCCACCCATGCTCCAGCTCCACTCTGTGGTTTGTACAACACTTGCTTCCATGGGACAGGGCTCCGACACTGCCAAATCCGAGCTCTAGTCTGCCCAGCAGACTGGAGTCCCACCGCCTGCAGCAGCGCAGGAGCTGCACGTTCTCGGAGGGGGGGCAGAAATAGCTATGAAATAGCTGACCACATTGGGAAGGAATCACCATTCACAGTACATCCCTTTTATAGTAACAGGGCTGCAGAATAAGACGCTGTCATAGCTTTGTTCAACAATGAACAGCAGTATCAGGGGAAGATTATTTCCTTTTTCAGAGAAAGGAATCAAGATGTTCCATTTCATCTTTTTCCATATTCCAGGAGCTCAGTGCCAGCCACTCTATCTGCAGCAGCTGGCATAGTCTATGTCCAGCTGTCAAAGCAGTAGCGGAAATAAACGTTACTCCAAACAAAGGTGCTGTATGTCTAAGAGACCCTGAAAAATCTCTCACTCCTGTTAGTTGTTAGAGGCACAAATGCCAAATGGATATCTATTGTTTGTCATTTCTGGATTAGAAAAATGAGGGTACAATACTAACAAACACTAGAAAAGCCTAATGAAAATAGAAAAAGACTTGAACTGAAACAACATGCACACAAAGACTAGGGTTACCATAAGAAAACATTAGGCAAATAACCAAAAATGCAACTTACCATTAAGCAGTAAAATGGAAAGCACCAAGGAAGAGTTGCTGGTTCAAATAATAACTAACCCTGAGCTCACTTCAGATTTAAAACCACAGCGCTAACAAGCTACGCAGAGTCACTGATCGCTTTCCACAGCTTACCCACCTGGTCCCTTTCTTCTTCAGTTTGTATTTAGAGGACAAGAGCTGTGGGAGAAGAACACCACCTCTATATGTCTGGGTAACATCTAACACTATACAAACTTAGTGCTGTTCAAGGTCTGCAAGCATTGCTGTCACAGGAGTTAAACCATTGCTGAAATAGCCGCCACATAAAACCAATTTGAACTGCAAAACTATAACTGTGGGCTTTCATCAGTGACCCGATAGAAGTCATCGGCAGCAATCCCCCAGAAAAAAAAAAAAGGGAGAAGTGGTCTGTCTACTTTTTTGGCAGCTGTGGAGGAGGTGGTGGAAATCACAAAGGAAGCCACATGCACTGGCAGAACAAGATGTGCCATTTCTCTTCTCAATAAAAAAAAGGGTGTACTACAATACTAGGACAGGAAGGCAGCTTTCTACAGCCTCAGGCGGCACATTCCACATCTTTGAATTTGCAGGGTTGATGAAACAAGAAGCAACTCTGTTCAGTGTGGTGCAGGACAACATGGGGGCCCCACACAGGATAAGTATCACTGAGTCTCAAAACTCTGGTTTGGCTAACGTTACTGAGCCTATGGGGAAAGCGGAAAAAAATAAAAGGAATGGTAGCTGTCAGAGTTGAATACATTCGTACTGGGCTTTGCATTGTAAATGCAGTGTGCAGTGCATCTTTTGGGGTACCCAGTGCTCAGCTCATGCCACTGCTGATTCACAAGCGATTAGCCTCACCTAGGGCTAAGCAGGGCCCATGCTCCAACACAATTTGCAGTGAAAGTCCATGTCACAGGACAGGAATGATGCCAATCTGCCTCACTTGCACAAGTCTGGCAGCTGGACAACCCTCCACATAAGCAGGAGGCCAACGTACCTCATGCTTCAGTGCCACTTCACAACGCACCGAAAGCTGCTCGCCCTGACCCCAATTCATTGCTGAATCAGTGTTGCAAACACATCACATATTCCACTTCATTAGCTTGCAGTAACATGTATTTACACACACACACACACAATCTCTCTTTTGCTTTCAGATCATCATATTCATCTTAGCTAGAAAGGGTAGCGTTATCGTAGCCATAGCTGGCCTAAGGCTATATAAGGGCAAAAAAATATTCCTTCTATTACATGTTAGCACGTTCCTTTTATACCCTCCTTCCTGTTGACTTCAACAGGAAAACCAGCACTATTTTCGCTCCCAAATTTATAACCCCTCCTTGCAAACATCCAACATATGTTGCTTCGTATGTGCCAGCTTCCCTTTTCCCCCAAAGTGTGCAATTGAGTCATATAATGGAGTTGAATTCTGAACACCTTAACCTGTATTTAGCTGAAAGTTCACTGCTGCTGCTTCATATCTTACAAAGGGATTGTGTCCCCAAACGCCTGTTTTTTCCCCACCTGTTTTGTGGGTCTAATAAGAGATATTACCTCTCCCTATTACAACTTCGCAAAAAGAAAAAAAGCACAATGGAAGCACAATTAGGTTCTCTTTTCTCAGCTGCTAAAAGCATAGTTCATTATGGGAACCTATTACACACTTAGGAAGTTAATTTTCAGGTATTGTTTTTGAGATTTAACAAAGACACACTCAAATTCACCTATCCATCAACCAAACAGGAGCATTGCCAGGACAGCCTGCAAAGCACTGATGCTTCCTGGCCAGCCTGGTCTGCAGCCACAGAGCAATGTTCCTCTCTCCCTTCCAGACAGACAAGTCCCCAGGCTCCATTCTACCTTCACTACTTACATCAGTGATCGGTGTTCTACTCCAAAGCAACAGAACCAGTCACCAGGTGCAAAGAGCCAACAAACCAAAATGGCATCTTTCATCAAGGCTGGGACCATTCATTACAAACTGATTTGTTCAACTGGCAACTAGAAAAACAGCACAAAGAAAGAGCAAGAAGACGAGAGCACAGTCAAACTACTGTACAAAAGATCTCAAGGGTGTTAATGACAAGCAGGTACGAAAAGAAAGATTTAAGAACAAAACACTTGCCAAATCAGAGTAACCTCCCCTAAGGGCCTGTGGTCAATATGGAGTCCATTTAAAATGGACAAACCAAGATACCAGAGTAATGGAGTGCAGAGCGCTTGAGGAAAGGGAAGGAACAGCACTGAGCAGTAGATGATGGCTTCGGACAGCTGATTGCTGTGGTAAGCTCCTGATTATCTGGAAACACCTCATCACATACTTTCTTCCCAGAACACACTGTGCTTTCTGCCATGCTATGTACCATTTTACTCTGAGTTGTCCCTGGATGTCACAGATATCACTGTGATGTTACTTCTGGGGACACTGGACATCCCGATGAGAAAGAGAGGGCAGTGTACCATAAGCTTTGGCTAAATAACTAGAAAAACATTCGTACAGATGTTTTCTGTAGGCAAGGCTCTCTTAAGATTTATTTTGAACTATAAAAGACTAACAGCATTGTCTTATTAGATGTGCATACAGACAAATTCCTGAAGGAGTCTAACAGCTGAGAAAGTAACAAGCGAGTGGTAGGACTAAGTTCCTGTGCAGCTCTGAACGAGCACCCCAAGTTTTCTTACAGCCTACCTGTGGGACATGGGGAGAAAGAAGAGACTGTCATCAGTGAAAATATGTAAGATTTCCAATTGTAACAAACCAGAGGATCCAGTTCATATGGAAGTCGGACCTTTTATCTCCTGCTGGCTTTCTTCAAGTCCTGGGTGACTACTGTCCAATAACTCTATTTCTTGTTAACAAACTGCTAACTTTCTTTTACATCAGGCTAAACAGAGTGTCATCAGTAAATACAAAAGGCTTTAACAGAATGGGAACAGTAAGATACCTCAGTATTAGGGGTATAATTTTCGCTGCGGCTTTGAGTCCTCCTCCACAACAGATCACTGCAATAAATCAGTTAAACAGCATAAGCATCTGACACAGTTTTGAAACAGTTGTGGTTACATCTCTGTAATGTAAGCCTAGGAAGAGCAGAACTTCTCAGTTCACAGCCTGGGTTCAGGTTGTCAAAAGCTGTAATGAGCAGTCGTGGGCTTACATTCCTCGCTCAGGAGGCATCACATTGGAGCAGCAAAGGCTTCAAGTGTAAACCACAGATGCTCTCTAAACAGTGTGTCACCTCCAGCCCAGGAGGACAGAAGGGACCAGGGATCTAGAGGTCAGCTGAGTACAGAATGAGGAGATGCTGCAAAAGAGCCAGCAGGGGAGG